CATACATACATGTCTAACCTACGCTTGAAACAATCAATTGATTCAACATTTATTGTTACTCGGTAATTTTTCCATAGATAAATCTGCATTTTATCAATCCAGTAATTAACCAATATTTACTTATTAAGCTTGCAATTGCATAATAACGATAAGAATTCTTTTAATTTTACTTTACGGTTTCATTAGTTGCAACAATGACATTATAATGTCATTGTTGCAACAGACTATAATAATGACACTATAGTCATTTCCTGCTGTTTATACTATCATTGAAAGCGTGAAGACGTCAGTGACATGCTTGCGGACGTCACTTAAAGCTTGAGGATGTCAATGGCATTTTTTTGAAGTCATTGGCAGCTGGAGGATGTCACTGGCAATTTTAGGACGTCTCTGGAAGCTCTAGGATGTCACTGACAGTTTTAGGAAGTCACTGGAAGCTCGAAGATGTCACTGACAGCATAAGGACATCACTGATAACTTGAGGACGAAACTGACAGCTTGAGAACCTCAATGACAGCTTGAAGACGTCACTGACAGCTTGAAGACGTCACTGACAGGTTAAGCACATACTTGAGCAAATCAATAATATGCTTGAGGACATCAGTGACAAATTTCTGCAAGCACTAAAGACCAAAAAAACAAGGACGCGACGAACTAAATAAGAACTTCTTAAAAGGAGTTCCCTCCCGACCTTCAAGAGGTGGAAAAAAAAGAACATAGCGAAAAGTATTTTATGCCAATCATCTTTATTATTAGAGCAGGTAGCGAGGTTCCGGACCCCTCCCAAGGGTTGTACTCGGACCTGCCCCTTCCAGAGCAATACGGACCTGCCCCTTCCAGAGCTATACGGACCTGCCCCTTCCAGAGCTATACGGACCTGCCCCTTCCCGAGCAATACGGACCTGCCCCTTCCAGAGCTATACGGACCTGCCCCTTCCAGAGCAATACGGACCTACCCCTTCCAGAGCAATACGGACCTGCCCTTTCCAGAGCTATACGGACCTGCCCTTTCCAGAGCAATACGGACCTGCCCCTTCCAGAGCAATACGGACCTGCCTCTTCCACAGCAATACGGACCTGCCTCTTCCTGAACACGAAAGGGTTCTCCATCACTTGCAATACGAAATACAGTGGATAATACCTAATTCCGGGACGCCTTTGCAAATATCAGGAGCCGATTATATCTTACTAAATTCAACTTGATGGGTAAGATGGGATATATATTTTGTCAATTATATCAATCATTTCCCTCCCGGAACAAAAAATTCCTCTGCAGTGATCATTTGCAGTTCAACGAGAAGGATGTTATCGTTGAACATTACCAATGGTTCAAACTGGCGGTTGTGGTCACATCATTGGCGCACCTCCGGAGCTACCAACCCCACACATGTGAGCCGAATGGATTGGATTGGTGGTGGAGGGAACAGCGTTTCTTGTAAAGTTATGCCTCGACATCATCGAAAACGGGAGACTTGGGGTTAGAAATGTAGTAGAAAGGTCTGCGTTTGGGGGAAATATTATTAACCCCATTGTAGGTAATGAAGGCGTAACGTGAGGCTTTATTCTCAGGCTGTGTGGCTGTGTATCATATACCCATTCTGTGTATTCTGTGGCTGTGTATCATATACACATTCTGTGTATTCTGTGGCTGTGTATCATATACACATTCTGTGTATTCTGTGACTGTGTATTCTGTGGCTGTGTATCATATACACATTCTGTGTATTCTGTGGCTGTGTATCATATACACATTCTGTGTATTCTGTGACTGTGTATTCTGTGGCTGTGTATCATATACACATTCTGTGACTGTGTATTCTGTGGCTGTGTATCATATACACATTCTGTGTATTCTGTGACTGTGTATTCTGTGGCTGTGTATCATATACACATTCTGTGTATTCTGTGACTGTGTATTCTGTGGCTGTGTATCATATACACATTCTGTGTATTCTGTGACTGTGTATCATATACACATTGTGTGTATTCTGTGGCTGTGTATCATATACACATTCTGTGTATTCTGTGGCTGTGTATCATATACACATTGTGTGTATTCTGTGGCTGTGTATCATATACACATTCTGTGTATTCTGTGACTGTGTATCATATACACATTGTGTGCATTCTGTGGCTGTGTATCATATACACATTCTGTGTATTCTGTGGCTGTGTATCATATACACATTCTGTGTATTCTGTGGCTGTGTATCATATATACAGCCCTTCTTCCCCCCCCCTCCCCCACCCACCTTTTTTTACACTTTTAACGACCCAATTTGTTTGATTATTTCGTATTTATTTTCGCGTTGAGAGTCGCTACGGCAGTTTGAGTCGTCGCCATTTCCTTAGCGGGTTCACGAAAATGCCAAAACCGCTGTTTCATGCAGGTCCTGAATGGAGTAAGAGTGACTGTAGCGTCAGATCCTTCTTACTCCTGCGTCAAAACAAGTATCTTATAGTCCTAATTCATCTTCGAAAAATAACTTTACACGCACCGTCGCCGTGAGTGAGAGGAACGGACTAGATGAGTAAGTTGTGTAAGCCAATTCGAAACATAGTTTTAATTGCAGATGATGAGTCACAATAACGTGGCTGAAGAATGTTGACTAAACCACACACTATAAGGTGAAGAGACGTACGACGTTTCGGTCCGTCCAGGACCATTATCAGGTCACAATCGACTTGATAATAGTCCAAGAGGGGTCAAAGCGTCATCTCTGGTGTGTGGGTTGGTCAACATAGTTTTAAATATAATTGTAAGACAAAAAACTAGTGAAAAAGCGTCGCTGTATTGGACTATAGATGGTCTTAAGGATTCTCGAACCTGCGAGCACAAGATGAGTTCCTGTTGGGCAATAAGGTTTGGGAACCCTCCATCCTGGCGAGGAATAACTCGATCTAATAACTAGGAATAACTAATAGCGAGGAATAACTCGAGGGTGTAAATATCCTAAGCTACACTACCCTTTAGAAATGTACTTCCTTTCCTCATAAAACTTACTTGAACTTGAACTCGGACTTTAGTTATGGTTGAAATGAGGCCCACTTGGAAATATATTCTACTGGGAAGGCTGGGAAAAAAATACCTGCATTTACTGCCTCGCTCAACAACCCGTTTCCAAGATATGCCATTACGTACAACAATATGTGAGTTGCTTAACCAGAAACATTCGAACCTTAGCACCTAACTGAGGTCAATGTACAGAAAACGTCAATATTACGGCGTCTTAATTTTTTTACAGTAAATTCTTGCAATTTTGACGGATTGGTCGATTCCGTTAGAATTGCGATGCATAAGGACAGGTTGCGGGTGGTGCTGGTGTAACCATCTTGGCTCTTGCCCTCTGAACCACTCGTTTTGAACTCTCCTTAATCCATCTTCTTCTCGCTACGGGTCTCCCGCCATAATGGGTAATTAGCGTGTTCAGAATATCCGAGGCGTGGAATAAACGCAAATTTTTGACTACCAAAAGAGATTTTGGCTTAATATATAGATTTTTGGCCGCTCTCCTCTTCGTTGTGGACTTAGGAAAATGACCTGCCTTGAATGATCAATATCTCGGGTTTGAAAGCTGGGAAGAAAAGCTTTCTTAGTGATGTTGTAACATATTTACTTCAAGAGTCACATAGGAACTTTACAAGAATTATTTCGATGGGAGTATTGTTTGATATGGTAGCGATTACTCTAAGCATGAATCAGTCGTGATCCAGCTCCCGGTCCCCGATTACTAGACATCAATCGTCATTTTCTTATTGATACATCACGTTAATGTGATTTCATTGTGCGTAGTTCCTAGTTTCTCTATGGCTCATTTCCTCTTTTTCTATTCTGTCAATCCCGTTGGGTATTTTATGTCTCTATAATCTCTCTCTCTCTCTCTCTCTCTCTCTCTCTCTCTCTCTCTCTCTCTCTCTCTCTCTCTCTCTCTCTCTCTCTCTCTCTCTCTCTCTCTCTCTTCTAGCGACAATAGGTCCAGTTCATTCAGTCATTCTACGTACGAAATCCTACGTGATTCTGAGACGTGCCTCTTTGGAAACCTCTGAACCTTTACAAGTTGTCTTATGTGCACTTTAAGGTGGGGCTCGACAATGAGGCTGCATACTCTAGGACTGGTCTCACGTAGCTGTTGTCTGAAAGCCTTCTTGTTAAGGTTCCTGAACGTTGTTTTGATCTTCGCCAGTTTGTAGTATGCCAGTGACGTTATTGATAGTGTTATTGCTTTAACTCATACGTCAGTTATCGCCATATCTGCTTATCAGATATCAGATCTACTTCTAGGTAGTTTTTCTTAATCTTTTGAGGGGTAGTGAAGACTCTTCACTGTGTACCGTCCTGCTGGTCTCTTGTTCCCATTTACATCACCTCACACATACTGGTATTATGTGTCTTTATCTTTCTTGCTGTACTCTCCTAATTGTTCTTTAAGGGGGTTGAGCTTCAGCTCTTCGGCCATACCACTTTAACATCCATTCAACTGTTGTACAGGTTTATAAGTCTATTGAATGTATATGTACATTTGAAACTGTGCATGGAGGCCTCATACATCACTTCACTTCAAAGTTTATTCTATTTGTTGACGACTTTGCCATTAAAGCAAAAATAAAATCTTATATATCTCAAGTATGTTGACCAATCCACACACTAGAAAATGAAGGGACGACGACGTTTCGGTCCGTCCTGGACCATTCTCAAGTCGATTGTCTTGAGAATGGTCCAGGACGGACCGGACCGTCCCTTCATTTTCTAGTGTGTGGATTGGTCAACATACTTCAGCCACGTTATTGTGACTCTTCGCCTGCTTATATATCTCATATGGGTACTCAGTCTTCAGCTATGCGGTCTTGGTCGTTTATCACCCACCACTATAAGTAATCTGTCCTTGACTACTCTATCAATTTTCCTTAGAATTTTGTACGTGGTAATCATGTCTCCTCTAACCCTTCTGTCTTACACTGACATGAGGTATAATTTCATGTTTTTTCCCTTTGACTCATACCTGACAGTTCCGGGACTAGTCTGGTGGCATTCATCCGGACTTTCTCTATTATTGTTTTGTGTTTCACAAGAGTAGTTTCTCCCAGCAGGCGCCGCATGTTCCTGAATTGCTCTGACACGTATGGTATATAATAAAGTCGTGTGCGTGCGTGCATGCGTATGTACATGTGTGTGTGTGTGTGTGTGTGTGTGTGTGTGTGTGTGTGTGTGTGTGTGTGTGTGTGTGTGTGTGTGTGTGTGTGTGTGTGTGTGTGTGTGTGTGTGTGTGTGTGCGCGCGCCTGATCGCCAGCACATATATTTTATTCCCTCCCTTCTACCCCCCACTGAAAAAAAAAATCTCATTACATACTATTGCATTTCCATTCCAAGAGACAAGACAAACTCTCCCTGTGTCAACATTATGACTCCTGTCACCGCCTCTCGACGCCCGTGCCCAAATCACCATGTTTATTGTCAAGACCCTCAGCTTTTATATATTGGATGACGGCAGAAACGTATGTGATTGTGTACATTCCTCTCCTTCATCGAGTCTCTGCACGAGTGTCGTCATAAACTGGTACAGGATAGCAAATACGAGTTCTGGGCTGCAGAAATATTTGGGGGACGCGACAAGGCCGCCTCACAATGAATTGGTCTCAATAGCGTCACTCCGGAGAAATTATTTGTTTGCTTCTATATATTTTTTGCGTGCATATAATAATCTTTTGTAACTTGTGTGTGTATGTGTCGTTTTCTTGCATGTTCATGCTTGCCTCTGTTCGCGAACTATTGCAGCTTATATTGATGTGTAGATTACATTAAAATTGACGATTTGACAGTATTGCCATTAGCAGTTAGAGGAAAAAAAAGGGATTGGGTAATCAGGTAATAATCGCACCTAGTCATTCAAGCACGAACCAGCAAGTCACCATCCAGTTCACGTAACCAGTCCAGCCCGTCAGGAGGACATCAATCAGGAAAGGCTATATAGCAAGTGACTGGCAATTCAGCCATCCTAGCTAGCCAGCAGCCAAGTCGCAGGCCCTCGCTGCACTAACTTGCCCCTATCTTGAGGTTATCTTGAGTTGATTTCGGGGCTTTGTTTTTAGTGTCCCCGCGGCCCGGTCCTTGACCAGGCCTCCACCCCCAGGAAGCAGCCCGTGACAGCTGACTAACACCCAGGTACCTATTTACTGCTAGGTAACAGGGGCATAGGGTGAAAGAAACTCTGCCCATTGTTTCTCGCTGGCGCCCGGGATCGAACCTGGGACCACAGGATCACAAGTCCAGTGTGCTGTCCGCTCGGCCGACCGGCTCCCTGGTCGACGACCTAAGTTCAGAATGAAAACCTCCCCTGACCCCCACCTCTTGAAGCACTTCTCTACGACCTCGCTCGACTCCCTCAACGTTCTCCTCCTCCCCCTTGCATTCTGTTTTGTAATTTTTTTTGCGGCGACGAGAAAGTTTAACCACCAAATGATAACAGTTTCTCTTGGGTTTTAGGAAAGATTCACGGGGGCCTTGGAAAGGGCTCCCCCATCTTAGCTGTCGCGGGTGAGCTGTGAGTAGAGGACGAGTAATACCCGCCGTAAAGCTATCGGAGTCCCGAGGTTCTCCTCTGATCAGCGCCCGTGATAGTTGTTACGCTCTCCAGCGTCGCTGCTGCTTGGGGGGTGTGTGTCTCCTGAGGACCAGGAGACCCGGGCCATGACGGGGCGACGCGGTGCTGCCTAAGAGGGGGGAGGAGAGAGATAGGGAAGCCAAGGAGACGTGTTGAAGCCAAAAGAGAAGGGGGTGAGACCAAGGATGAAGGCGGCGATAGATAACAGACGAGGTGATCTTGTGATCATACTGTATCATGCTCCTGTGATCATACTGTATCATGCTCCTGTGATCATACTGTATCATGCTCCTGTGATCATACTCTATCATGCTCCTGTGATCACACTCTATCATGCTGTCCTGATGAAGGCGGCGAGAGATAACAGACGAGGTAATCTTGTGATCATACTGCATCATGCTCCTGTGATCACACGGTATCATGCTCCAGTGATCACACTGCATCATGCTCCTGTGATCACACTGTATCATGCTCCTGTGGTCACATTGTATATCATGCTCCTGTGATCATACTCTATCACGCTCCTGCGATCACACTCTATCATGCTCCTGTGATCACACTGCATGAGAGAGCATTAGAGAGGAAGACAACAAACAACATGACGTAACTCCAATCTCAGAAATGCTCAGATGCCACAGAGCAGTTCACCTCCATAAACAAAGCAGTGGACGAGAAAAGCAAAGTCAACCTGAGGCTTAAAACACAACAACACGGAGGACAATAGAGAGGCACTAAAGAGCCCCAGGAATGTCTACAATGGAGACCACGAGAGCAGCTGGAGCGATATGTAAGCGACATGGCGGCAAAAGCTAAGAGAGAGAATTCTCACAGAGAGCGACAAACGTGTTTTTTTTTTAGAAATCAACAACACGGTCCGAGAGATCTTGTAAACCTATGGAAATCTTTTCATGTGAGGAGTCCGCGGACAAACAGTTTTTTTTTTTTCAAAAATAATAATACTAATAACAATAGTATTTATTTACAAGATGGAACAATGTGAGATTACATTAGAATGGTATTTTTACATTGTTGCAAAACCACTAACACGCACAGCGTTTCGAACAGAACACTAAAACGAACATTATACAATACAGTGGATAACGGAACGTAACAAAAGAAGCAGGAACAGACTTGATATCACCGATAACAATAGTGGTAAAGCAATAATGATAACTACTGATAAATTAACGAACAGTTTTTAAGTTAGTTTAGTTTAGTTCATTTATTATGCACCCCATACTCATCTTGTGGGCGGTAGTGGAAAGGGTTACAGAGGCACATAATGGGCTCAGGGACTGAACCCCACAATTCATTTAGCTAAGCAAGTTATAATCTTGATGAGCTAGTTACAAAATTCAATATAAGTCGTCACATCAACAATGGATTCGAGATCGATCTCAAGTATAGGTTCTAAATTAAGCAACTGACATATGTGGAGAGCTAGTGTCACAATTAATATGTTTGTCTGCCCCCCATCCAGTGGGCAGCGGTGGATAGGTTACAATCACTCAGTTACTACCTAGAGTTAGCAAACTGGGGATATTTGGCTAAATTTTTTAATGTAAGCAAAACGACAAATTGGATAACCTATGAGCAATCATATCGTATATCCCACTCACAGGGATAGTAGCAGCACTCACAGGAATGGTAGCAGCACTCACAGGGATAGTAGCAGCACTCACAGGGATAGCAGCAGCACTCACAGGGATAGTAGCAGCACTCACAGGGATAGTAGCAGCACTCACAGGGATAGTAGCAGCACTCACAGGGATAGTAGCAGCACTCACAGGGATAGTAGCAGCACTCACAGGGATAGTAGCAGCACTCACAGGGATAGTAGCAGCACTCACAGGGATAGTAGCAGCACTCACAGGGATAGTAGCAGCACTCACAGGGATAGTAGCAGCACTCACAGGGATAGTAGCAGCACTCACAGGGATAGTAGCAGCACTCACAGGGATAGTAGCAGCACTCACAGGGATGGCAGCAGCACTCACAGGAATGGTAGCAGCACTCACAGGGATAGTAGCAGCACTCACAGGGATAGCAGCAGCACTCACAGGGATAGCAGCAGCACTCACAGGGATAGTAGCAGCACTCACAGGGATAGTAGCAGCACTCACAGGGATAGTAGCAGCACTCACAGGGATAGTAGCAGTGTTGTAATCCACAAGTTAGTAGGAATTATTAGCTAGAGGATCATTACTACAACACTTAACGAATGATGATTGAAAGTACATGTAAGTAGACAGACTATGGATCACATATCTAAGAAAGGTCAATGGATTAAGACCGAAGCTGTTTAGCCAAATGATTAATTCCTGGAAAGAGGAATTATTCTTCGTCAGGCTTCCAGGAACAAGATTACCTCTCTAGGGATAAGGTTAATCGGATTATACCTTCCTTGAGAGGTGGGGTGAAATGGTTGAGGGAGATGGCGGACTGGAGTCAGTCTGATTGTGGGAGTGGAACTGGGGAGTCCTCCGCCTCTCCGTTTGCGGCAGCAGCGAAGTGTAGCAGACAGCTATGCGAGAGCCTGTTGTGATCTTAGTGACCAAGTTAAGTCTGCAGTATGTGAGTATTGAATGTAAGACTAACCGGGTGTGGAGCGTTGTAGTAATCATTCCGTATTAGGGACTTAGGCGGAAGTTACGAGTGTGGGTGGTGATCGCGGAGGTCAAGTGGTCTATGGGTATTGGAAGTGTATTGACCTAATAGAGTATGTTAATTAATATAGTATTATTTGTCAGAGTCTATTCTTTGTAATTAAATGACAAAACCCGACGGCCTTTAAATACCTTCCATGTGTCCCTTCATAGTGTTCCTGGTTTGGTTGGGAGGGAATGTTAGGGAATTGGTAGACGACATATTTGGTGGCAGCGCAAACAGGTTTTGGAACACTTTGCGAGATGAAGGAAGTGTGGTTCTGGTTTAGTTGGTGAGGGAATGTTCGGGAAATGGTAGACGTCGGGTTGTGGTGAGAATGGTGGTTACTAGACGGAGGAAAGAAGGGTCAGGTGAGACCAGGCCAGAGGAGTTAGTTAATTAAAGGGACTAGGCCATTGTGGGGCACATGTGGGGTTTATTTCTTTCTTTCCAGATTCCCACAACGAGAGACGGCTAAGAGGCAAGTCTGGACCACTGAAGCATCGGGATCCAAAACAAGTGCAGTGTTCGTAGTGCGGATTATACAGTGTTCGTAGTGTGGATTATACAGTGTTCGCAGTGCGGATTATACAGCGTGGCGAGGTAAACTAGCGCGGGTGAATGTGGGCCAGTGTAGGCCATGTGCGGCCATGTGCGGGCCAAGCGATGGGTGGGCCAAGCGAGCCGCACCTTGGAGCTTGTTTTATATCGTTGGTAAGGCGGAAACAGTGAGAAACCGTTGCTAAGGTGAAATTAATCGTGTAAACTACGTAATTTAAAGTTAATTAAATTTCATGTAACGTGTAAATCGAATATTTTAAGGATAATGAAATATTACCTAAAGTACTGTG